AAAACAGAGATTATTTAGAACTTGAGACGGCAGTATTAAGTAACTGAAGAGATATAAGATTGGGGAGCATGGATGTTAACGCCTACTTGTTTAAGAGCAAATCAGATGTCGAGATATGTCAACGTACATCATGTTTAAATATAATCACCACGTATTAGTTGTGGCCGTCACAAAAAGTTCTTCATGTCCTAATAAAAAGGGAACAAATTTGACATAGGAATGCTCATTCAACATTCATGCACCAAATAATAAATAAACCGTTGAAAACAAAAGGCATGCAACGGATTTTAATCCAGGTCAATTGTGATATCACGCCATTTCAGAAATAACAAACATTTTCAGCGTTGTTTTTTTCAGTTTACTTGTTATTATACATTATAAAATTCTGTGAAGACGAAAAGTTGCACGTAGTCTAAAACTGTGTGCCCTGAATCCGGACAGGATGACTTTAAGCTAAACCGGGGAAAAGTGTTGCTGGAATGTACTGTTGGCACGTAATGGTGCATGAACTAAAGCTTGCATTTTGTTTTCCCGTGGCTTAAAATCGTCCTTCAAAGTTTACATTTTCAAAGGCATAGCCAACTTAAAAAAATATTTTAAAAAAATGCCTCCATAAACAGAGGCAAGCGTAATATCAGCTGCCACCAAAGAGTTTCCGTCCCTAAATAACTGTAGCTTTTGGTTTACGTGTCATAAATTTAACTGTATTTATAGAAAATATGTATAATATTTATATCTCTAAATAAATTTATTATAAAAATAGATTTAACGATCTATCTAATGATATTAATTTTATATCATAAATATTAATATTTTTATATGTATTTAATCAATGTTATTTCTCGAAAAATAAAAACGACAATTATTCATGGACGAAGGAAATAGATATGAAGTTACACTATCCTACCAGAAATTAGTAACACTACCGGAACCCGCGATTTGCCGAGTCTTGGGAGGCTTTACTGAGTGTATTTTATCGGGCACTCAAGAAGAGACCGTTTGCCGAAAGTGCCGAAAAATACACTCGGCAAACAAAAACACACTGCAAAATACGTCTTTGCCGAGTGTTTTTTTCTGGCACTCGGCAAAGAGGCTTTTTGCCGTGTGCATTTTTTTTTTGCCCTCGGCAAATCAGTTTTTTGAAGCAATTTTTGAGGCCCTAAATGAATTCAAATGAAAAACTTTTCAACTAGAAAGTTGTATAACTTCTCAAGATCTACAAAGTTTATTTCGGTCATTTCTTTATTTGACAAAGCGACAATAACGTTGTTCATAAAATCTACATCACTCATATCTCTCATATTAGTTTTATGAAAGTAGAAGACAGATATATAAGATTTGTGAACAATGTTACTACCACTATGTCGGATGAACAAATGACCAAAATAAACTTTGTAGATGTTGATAAGTTATGAAATTTTGTAGTTGGCAACATTTTGATTTGAAATCATCTTGTCATGCAAAAACGACGTTTGAATTTGAAAATTTTAAAATTTGAATTTTTTAAAAGACCTCGGATGGAAAAACTTCCTAAATGAAAATTGTAGATCTGCAAAAGTTATGAAACTATGTAGTTGATAACTTTTTGATTTGAAATCATCTTATTATGCAAAACTACGTTTGAATCTCTCAAATTTAAAATTCAAATTTTTCAAACGACCTCGGATGGAAAAACTTACTAAATGAAAATTGTAGATCTCAAAGAGTTATGAAACTTTGTAGTTGACCACTTTTTGATTTGAATTCATTTAGGGCCTTAAAAAAGCAATTTACTCTCAGTTTGCCGAGTGCCTTTTTTCTGGCACTCGGCAAAGCCGTATTTTGCCGAGTGCCTATGTTTTGCCACTCGGCAAAGAGGCATTTTGCCGTGTGCATTTTTTTGGCCCTCGGCAAATCAGTTTTTCGAAGCAATTTTTGAGGCCCTAAATGAATTCAAATGAAAAACTTTTCAACTACAAAGTTGTATAACTTCTCAAGATTTACAAAGTTTATTTTGGTCATTTCTTCATTTGACAAAGCGACAATAACGTTGTTCATAAAATATACATCTCCCATATCTCTTATATTAGTTTCATGAAAGTAGAAGAGAGATATATATGATTTGTGAACAATGTTACTACCACTATGTCGGATGAACAAATGACCAAAATAAACTTTGTAGATCTTGAGAAGTTATGAAATTTTGTAGTTGGCAACATTTTGATTTGAAATCATTTTGTCATGAAAAACGATGTTTGAATTTGAAACTTTTAAAATTTGAATTTTTCAAAAGACCTCGGATGGAAAAACTTCCTAAATAAAAATTGTAGATCTCCAAAAGTTATGAAACATTGTAGTTGGCAACTTTTTGATTTGAAAATATCTTGTCATGCAAAACTGCGTTTGAATTTTAAAATTTTAAAATTCAAATTTTATAAACGACCTCGGATGGAAAAACAACCAAAATAAACTCTGTAGATCTCGAAAAGTTATGAAACATTGTAGTTGGCAACTTTTTGATTTGAAAACATCTTGTCATGCAAAACTGCGTTTGAATTTCCAAATTTTAAAATTCAAATTTTGTAAACGACCTCGAATGGAAAAACTTCCTAAAGTAAAAGTGTAGATCTCGAAAAGTTATGAAACTTTGTAGTTCACAACTTTTTTATTTGAATTCGTTTAGGGCCTCAAACAAACAATTTACACTTGGTTTAGTATAATATATTGGGAACTAAAACGGAATCTAGACATAAGTGACAGTGTGGTGTAGTGGTAAAGGAGGTTTGTGCGTAGCAGGAGGTCTCGGGTTCGAATCCCGTCGGCCGCATAGCCCTGAAATATACGCGAAAAAAGACGGAGATGGATGGGCACTGACTGGTGGGGGCCTCCATCAATTAAAAAAAACTTACATTTTTTTCGGTTTTGTTTTCGGTTCCAACTCGGCAAAGCCTTTGGCGAGTGTCCGACAAAAAACACTCGGCAAAAACGTCTTTGCCGAGTATAATTCGCCGAGTGTTTTATGCCTTTTGCCGAGTGTTCGGGACACTCGCAAACTCAACAAGTCCGGTAGTGTAACCGATGTGGCGATGCCCCATGACTAACCACCAACACACGCTGCTGCATCACGAACTGGATTACTCTGCAATCCGGCCGTGAAACTTGTAGATAGGCATAATAAAGAAACTTAATTTCTCTAATAAAGAGCACTCCTAAATTTGTAAAATCATATTGTGAGCTAGGGTGTTTGACCTCAGAACTAAACTTTAATCCTTTTTCGTATCGGATGTTTGATACTAATTAGGAGTACTAAATATAGACTAATTATAAAACTAATTGAATAAATGAAGGCTAATTCGCGAGACTAATCTATTAAACCTAGTTAGTCTATGATTAGCGAATGTGATGCTATAGTAAACATATGCTAATTATGGATTAATTAGATTTAATAAATTTATCTTGTGAATTAGTCACGGCTTTGCATAATTAGTTTTATAATAAAACTTATGTTTAGTCCGCCTAATTAACATCAAATATCCTATGTGACCCGGACTAAACTTTAGCCAGATCAATCCGTCTCCAATCAGTCATAGCTAACTTTGCAAACAAGTATTGATGATGATAAGCGGCATGTTCGGTTGGTTTTGGTTCGTTTAGTTCTTTGGTTCGTGAAGAAATCTTTACTTTGGTGGTTTGTGTGAGAGAAAAATATTATTTTGGCTAGAAATTTACGATCGTTCTGACACATGCGACCAAACGAACATCTTTGAAGGGTCGGGTGTGTTTTCTTTGGGCCAAAACCATACCTCATTTTGCATGATTCAACCATTTAGCACTGCTCTAATTCTGAATTGTTTTGAATATTTTGCATGCATGTTCGTGCAAATCCATACGTTACCTTGTGGCAAAGAAGGCAAGAGATACGCGTACGAGCGCACTTGAGGCGTACTCCCTCTGTTTCAGAAATAGGGTTGTTTTGGGATTAAAACTTATCTCGTAAATAGCGGTCCGCTATGACTTATAGCTTTTCAGTGAAGCGAACAGCTCGTTTGTTTTAGACCGTGGGTCCATCTTAAAGGATGCTGCAGGCCTACGGCATTTATCTTTTCATCTGCCGTACGCTCGCACCCGTATTCCTCTTCGCCTCCGTGTGCGGCGCTGAGGCGGAGGATGCCGGCATCGAGGAGGAGCGGACCGGCGTCGAGGTGGAGCAGATCGACACCCAGCTCGAAATCCGCCGCTCTGCCGAGATCCTCCACCTCTCCTTCTCCCCCATCCACCGCCCCACCGAGATCCACGCGCAGCCGGCGCCGAGATCGACACCCAACTCGAGAGGCGGACGGCGTAGAGCCGAGGCTACGCCGGGGCGGCGAAGATCCGACCCCTCCCTCGCGCCGCCGGAGAGGAGGCTGGGACGAAGAGGGCGCAGAGTCACTGGATCCGGTTGTTCGGGATGCTGCAGCGGCGAGCGAGCAGGCGAGTGAGCTGTGGCCTCCGTTGCGGCGTGCGGCGCAGAGCAGAGTGGCCGAATTGTTATGTAGCTTCTTTTTCATATTTATTTTGCAGTACAAAAATTCTGAGCGGAAATGAACAAAATTGGCCAACAAAAGGACGCAAAACGCGCGTAGGCGTACTCCAATTTGGTGAGCACAAGCCACTGAGGGACCCAAACTGTCCCGAACGTATTCTCGGTCTCTCGGAGCACGCACAAATAATTCCGTGAACTGTGAAAAGGAGTCACACATATCTCATGGAAATCGTAGCACAAAAGACCAGCTGCGATTGCCGCCGATGTTAGAAAACGAAGCTTCATCAGATATGTTATCGCACAGATAGATACATATACTCTGTCCACATTCTACAAAACTAATTAATTAACCACTGTACCAGCTACCAAGAGCATTAGAACAGAAAGCACAACTCACTCGATCGACGTGCAGATTTTACTTACTACTACTACTACTAGGTACCAAATGCACATCACCATTTGTAGATGTGAAGAACTGAAGACGAGAGATCTTCAATCAATTTCCCCATTTGTAGCGGCGGAAGAGGTCCTCGGTCTGCGCGTTGCGGAAGGCGCTGCAGCCGATGACGTAGACGAAGATGAGCGCGACGGTGGCGACGAGCAGCGCGACGTTGGCCTTGCGCCACTGCTGACGCAGGCCGCCCAGCACGCCGGCCTTGCAGGAGGCGCAGGCGTAGCAGAGCTGGTCCGGGTCGTTGCTCCACGCCGCGCAGTCCGCGTCCGCCGCCGGGTTCGCCGGGCTCGTCCACACCGTCGGGCTCACGTACGCGTACCCGCACACCGTCGGCGGCTTGCAGCACCCGGACTGCACGGACAACACAGCACAGTTCACAGATCACAGGGGTCACGACGGCTCATCATTAACATTAATTAATCGGAACAATTAGAGCACAGAAGCTTCCTATAGTCCTATCCTACGGGACCTGGAGTATGGGACAAGAGGCTGTCGAGAAGAGTCTCTTAAAAATCGGTGGCTGGCTACATGCTTCCATGCACCAGCCCACATGGCACACGTCTGCTGCTGCTGCCGCTCTCTCACACACACAGTGACAGAGGACACGTCTAGGCATGATGAAGATGAATGAACACATTTACAGGTCACGCCAACCATCTTCCCATCCAGTGCAAGTATCTGCACTCTGGACCAGACCATAGTAGGAGAGCACGGATGGACCTTACTTGGCACAAGGCAATGGACTGATTCCTCTTACTTTTGACCACTATATACTCATCCTTACAATAGCTACAAAGTGGAAACGAAACTACCAGATACCTTTACACACAAAGTTCATCTTAGATTAGAAGTAATAAACAATATAATGTGTGTAAACAATACTAAGTACTACTACTATTTACCTTAGATTAGAAGTAAACATTGGTCAGCACAATCGATGAGTAAACAATTTACAATTTACCTCGATGGGCGAGAGGTGCGACATGTAGAACTGCTCGGGCACGATGAAGGAGCTATCCGCGGCGAGCTTCCTGCAGGTGCCAGACGCCGCGACGCAAGCCCGGATCCCGTCCCACCTTTGGGGATCATCGGCGACGTACCCTCGCAGCCAGGAGGAGTAGCCCTGGAGGCGGTAGTCCTCGTACGCCCGGCCGAGGACCGGGTACGCGCCGGAGCCGTGCGCGACGGCGAAGGCGAAGACGAGGAGGGCCAGGAGCAGCGTGACGAGCGCCGCCATCGCGAAGAGGTAGCAGGCCAGCAGGCCCCTCCGGTTCCAGCACGCGCCCGCGAAGCCCGCCAGCGCGACGAGGAGGAGGAGCGCGCCCAGGATCGCCACCGGCCAGCGGAACAGCCTGAAGCAGTCCTCCCCGCCGTGCCTCGAGGCGAGCCAGAGCCCTGTTGCGGCGATGGGGATGGTGCAGAGGAGGACCAGGAAGTTGATGCACGCCGTGATGTTGTTGCTCACCGCCATGACGGCCGGAATGGGGGATATTGGGACTGGGAGGGCGGACGGGGGACGGCGCGACGGATGCAGCTGCTGGAACAGGAAGGGGAGAGTGTGACTGAGCTTGGTTTCTCTTCCTTTTTTTGCTGGGTGTCGGCGACGCGGTGAGAGGTTGTTTCGTGACTCGTGAGAATGCTGTTGCTACTCGCACGCGGTGACGAGGCAGCTCAGCATGTAGAAGAGAGAGCGAGAGAGCGAGTCCGCCTTGTGTGGGGATTGGGGAAAGGTACGGATGAAGAAAGCGTCTTGATATTCTCGTGCCCACCGGCCACCGGACATTGCGCGTTGTGTACGTAACGTAGCCGCCGCCCGCCGCACACGGCCGCAGCATCGCGTCGCGTCGGGGTTTTGTGGCGGCCTGATCAGCGAAGGCGTCACACGGCGGCCTGCCTGGTCGTAGCGCTTTGCCTGTGGGTGTGTGCTCAGCTGGGATTTTGTGCGCTTCCCCCACATAGAGGGTAGATGAGCTAGACAAGAAAAAGAAGCTGAGTACACCTTTGAGTCAACTTGAGATTGTTGATTTAAAACATAAAGTCTTAAGGAAAGGTTAGTATCTTTACTGATGAAAAATTATACTTGTATCAACGATCAAAAACAACTATTTTGCCCTAAAGAGATACAAATACAAAATATTTTCATATGGTAGCAAAATGAAAAACATAGAAATTCTTCCACTTCACCAGGACGAAGAGATACGTTGACAGCCCAAATAGTTAGTCCCGCTGTCCCAAATAAATCAATTCCTAGAATCCATGTCGGTTAAACTTTTTTTTAAGTTTGACCAACTTTATAGAAAAGAGTAACAACATTTATGACATAAAATAAGTATATTATGAAAATATATTCTATGGTACATCTAATGATACTAGTTTGATATCATAAATCTTGATGTTTTTTTTCTATGAGTTCGGTCAAAGTTTAAAAAGTTCTTAAGACAACTCCAAAGATCTATTTATTCAGGAAACAGAGAGTACCGGAAAAACCGAAGATGGAACAAGAAAATCGCATACAATCAAAAGAGATTAAGCGCACTATTTAAACCAACCCAGACCATTTTTTGAATCCTGAGCCGATTTTGTTAGGCCAAGTAGAAATCGTGATTTCTTTGTTACAAACTTCTTCAATCTCATAGGAAACTTGTAAATTGTCTGTGGAATATGTTTCGTACTCGTATAGAACCAATTATCTCTATTTATATGATAGCATCCATCTATCCAATTGACAAAAAAAAATCAATCTACTACACTTTTTACCTTACTTTTCCCATCTACTGCTGCTCCTCTCGTTGTTGCTGATGGTTGGTGGTTCAACGATGATGAATCTCTAAAGCCGTCAGGTCAGATAGGGTAGCTCATACCCACCATGGGCCCTGACGGGGTCCCTTCCGAGCATGTAGGGTTTCGGCTCGTTGGCGTGCCTTGCGTATCACGCTCCCGACAAGACTCCTCCAGTGACATATCTTGCATATCACGTTCATTGCTGGAGGGATCAGGTGAAAGTGTTCGTGTGCAAACATGCACGCTGTTAGGCGATGAACGACCTAAAAGTCAGCTAGACTAATCTTTAACCTACAAACTTTTTATATTAGGTTTTATTAAGTATCTTTAACCTGTACACAACTCCACCTCCTGTAGTTTCTAGAGATAGGGATTACCATCTCCGTAAATTTTTGGAACTAAAGTTGTACTAAACATTTCGTAATAAGAAAATCATTGAAATTTTGTACTACCTCCATTTCATTTTATCTAGTACACACATATCAAGATTCAAAATTTAAAAACTTTGACCAATAATTAAACTAATTTTTAACTTTTATAATACAAACTTCATATCATTAGATTTGTAAGAAATTATACTATTAAATGATTATAAGTTTGTAAGCATAAATAATATAATATAAAATAAATGAAAAATCAGAGTGTAATCTAATAGACCGTGTAATTCTAACTTGCGCCAGATAAAATGGAACGGAGGGAGTACGTGAGAAAGTGCATACTTATGACCGATGATGCCGGGTGCTATCTCTCTGGCTAGCGGCGGAGGTTGACTGAGGCTAGTCTGTGTAAGTAGGCCCCAAATATTAATAAGAGCGAGGCCAATGAACTTGGCTAATAGCCAAGCCATGTCATGTATAGCCCACTCTTATAGACAAGTCATACGATAGTCAAGTTTTTCATATATTTAAAAGATATTTTTTTATGTGGGACCCACCATTAGCACCTTTTCTCCTCCCTTCCTCTGTTCTCATACGCAGGCAAGAAACGAATCTCGTGGGCTGTGCCTGGCTCCCAGAAAAACGTCTCGAGGATGTGACCAGCCGGTATAGTTGGCCAATGGGCCGGCCTGGCCCGGCACGGCACGGGCCCGTGCCAGTACGGCCCGATAGCTAACGGGCCGGCACGGCACGCCATGCCTCACAGGGTCACGGACCTGGCCTTCGGCCCAGGCACGGCCCTATGGGCCGATTTCCGTGCCGGGTCAGCCCGCGAAGCACGATCAGAATCACGGGCCGTGCCAACCCACAGCCCGTTACACTTTGCATTCACAAACATATCACAGTTTCACATTCACAGAATTTCCAATACATTCACATTCACAGTTTCATACATTCATAGAATCGAAGTCCAAATGTCCGATACATTCACAGATCACAGTTTCATACATTCACAGAATCAAAGTCCAAATATCCGATAGACCGATACATTTACAGTCCAACAGAGATATCAAACTCTAAACTCTAAAGCTGACAGATAACAGAAATAACCAAATTGAGCTGTTTAGTGCAATGCTACCTCATTAAAAACCTTTCTAGATAAAACTCACCCTTGTGAGAAACCCTAAAAAGAAAAAAGAGTACAGCTAGCTCTTAATTAACCATTGTTCAAATGATAGACAAGTCTTTCACAGTCACACACACTTTCACAGTCACAGATCACACACACACCCTCAGGAGTCAAGTTTCAACCTTAGTACCTCACTAAGTACCAGGAGCACCACCAGCAGGTCCATCTTCATCAAGGTACAAGTTTTGGAATGAGTCTTCAAGCTCTTGGTTGTCAACAGCATGCTGTTCCCTTTTTTCTTCTAACTCCTAGTCCTTTAAGCAGGCTAGCATCTCCATAGTCTCTGGTGACAAGCGCCGCCGCTGTTCCTCAAGTATCCTACCTGTCAAACTGAAACAAGACTCCAAAGAAACAGTAGATACATGAACTGATATGATATCTCTAGCCATTATAGACAGGATTGGAAATGTTAGCTTGTGGTCACGCCATCACAGAACTAGGTCAAAATCATCCTCATAAGAAGTGACATTGTCACTATCTAAGTAAGCTGAGAGCTCACAAACAGTAGAAGTAGATGAAGATGAAGTGGCAGGGAGAGGGGAAGGACCAACAACACCTGATCCACGGCTAACGATTCTTCCCCATGTCTATTTTTTCTTACCTGTATGATGTGATGGTTGTGCAACCCTTTGAGACCTAGCTGCACCAAACTTGCTCTCATATTTGTTAAACAGTTTATACAATTTAGTTTTAACATCAGCATAGTATGAACTATACTCAGAACCAGTGCATTCACCAAGTAATTGTAGCACATTAAAGAAACCTATCATCTTAGCTCTAGGATCAAGAATAAATGCATATGAATATAACGGAGGTATGTCCTGCCAATATTTAAGGAACTTAAGCTTCATAGGATATACAATAGCTCTCAGATTATGATCTTTTTCACATGCATGTAAATGAGAAGCAATCTCTAGGATATGGTGCAGAACAAGTGGGCTTGTAGGATAATAAACACCAGACAGAACAACAGTGGAGTCATAGAAGAGTTTCAGGAACTCCAATAACTTCTCAGCAAAATACCAATGATTTGTAGTCAACAATTATGAACCATAATGAGAATTAGTGAACACAGAAAAGACATTCTTGTATGGAACCAAGTGTTTAAGCATCAGGTAAGTAAAATTCCATCTAACATCCATATCCAAGCCAAACTTTCTAGGTCTAACACCCTTAGCATTACAGTATTCCTTTAACAATGCAATTCTTTGATTAGAGAAATTTAAGAAGTTAATTGCAGTTCTAAAATCTTCTGTGTAAGGTTTCAACCTCTTTAATCTAGATTTTACAATGAGATTAATGATATGACAAGCACAACATTGATGTACAAGACTGTACTTACGATTACTAGGATCTAAAGGATTAGGTGAAGGATCAGGACCCAAGTAACAAGCAAAAAGAGGTGTCAAAGTGTTCATAGCCTTAGCATTAAAAGAAGCATTGTCTGGAGTGACAGAGAAAATCTTGTCAATCAGACAATACTCCTCAACCACAGCAGTAATTCTTTCAGCAATGTTTTCACCAGAATGTTTAACCTCAATCAGCCTAAGACCAATAACCATTTTCTATAACTCCCAATCAGCATTCACATAGTGAGCAACAATATTAATATAGTCCTCCTTAGCATTACCAGACCAAATGTCTGAAGTCAAAGCAACAGAAGAAGCAGCAGGCAACACAAAATTCTTAAGCTTATCACAGCATTCAGTAAACAGCTTACCAAGATCTCTAGTGGTGTTCTGTCTAAAAACCTTGGCAAACCTAGGGTTATGAGCAAGAACAATGTAATCCTCCCATGCCTATGACTCACCTATACCTAATGGAAGGTCAAGCCTAGCAATCAACCTACACAACTCAGAGCGAGGAACAGTAGGATTGTAGTCCCAGTTATGCACAGATCCATCAGCATTGAAAGAAAGCCTAGACTGAACCCTAGTAGCGTGATCAGCCTTTTTCCTACAAGATTTCTGATGCCTAATTAAATGGCCAGCATAAGATCTAGCAGACAATTTACTCTTACACATTTTATAGATAACAGCAGTTCGAACCTTTTGACCATTCATAGTCTCATAGATCTCATCAAAATCAACCCAGACACTAGATTTACGCTTACCAAGGCATGAG